ATTGGAGTACTCTGGGATAGCTCCCGGAGGCCAATAACTCGGGTGACCAGATGTCCCGATTTTATAGGGACAGTCCCAATTTTTGCATCTTTTTCTTATATAGGCTCCTATTACCCCCACCACCTGTACTGATTTTTCACATTTGCTTACTGGTCACCCTACCAATAATGTCGATTTGTGTCTGCACTACCACAAATTTGACCCAGCAAGGTCGATTTTAGCGCTTCTCCCCTCACCAGGGAGGAGTACAGAAGTCGATTTTAAGAGCCCTTTAGGTTGACGGAATGGGGATGTTTGTGTAGACACATTCATTATAAAATCGACCTAATGCGGCTAAATTTGACCTAACCCTGTAGTGTAGACCAGAGCTAAGAGCCCCTACCTCATTTGCAGGCTGTTTCACAAAATTGAAGCCAGAGCTGCTGACATTAGATGCTTCCATTCTTTAAGTACATCACATCTGAACTCTCCACTCCCTGAGATCCCCCGCCTGTGGGGCTGTCCCAGCTGGCACAGTTCATCCTGTGTGCCCAAAAGATAGACAGGGACCATCTTTTCAATTTTTTTAAGTTGGAACATTCTCAAAAGAGCTGATGTGGGTATTCGCATTTTATTAAAAATGGCCCTGCACTGGAGGGGACCAGCCTGGGAGCAGCACTACTAGACTTGGGGGAGAGGTGCAGCAAGTCTTCCAGAACTGTCTGCACAAGCCAGGAAAACGAGATAGAAACATCAGTGTAGGAAACACTTTCTTGTCCTGACCCATAGCAGATGCTACTAATAGTACAGAGCTTTAAAGATATTTCTCCAGGAACGCTCCACTCAGCTGCGTCTGTTCCATCCTAGTGCTGCTACTGCATAGAAAATCAAGTTGATGTGGTTTGTATTACCTAGTGATGTGCATACAATATGTCATTTATTAACCAGAAAACACTATTGCAAGTGTATGTAAAGCCAACGTTTTAAACCAGTTTTCACAGCTCAGGCAGTCTTAACATTTGCATTTGCAGCTGTGTCTTCTGCAGAGGATTGCAGGCCCTAGAGAAATCACATTGCGTTGTCTGGGCTCTGCACTGTAGCCCACTCAGCACCCCTTGTAACTGGACTTACCCTTTCTGTAAGTCAGCAACCCGATCTTTCAGTTCACTTATTACTGTCACATGAGTTTATACGAACATGAATTTGCCCAGCATGATTCGCTGGGAGAACTGTGATTTATATTGCTGAATAACTCCCATATGCCTATAAATCATAGGTCAGTAAACATGCATCCCAGAGCTATGTGCAGACTAGACAGCGATGCCACATTACTCCTAGTTTACACACATGTATCCTTCCTTTTCATGCCTCCTACACAGCAGCACCAGTTTTCACTAGGATTTTTGGACATATAACTGCAAACACATACAGCTCTCCCAGTGATAGCACCAGTGGAAGCTACAGTGTAGACAAGACTCATATGGGCTCAAAAACAGACCCCTGCTCTCAGCAGTGTTAGACATGTGGTAAAAATGCCTGAGCCTTGTCTACACTACAGCTTCCAGTCTCTGAGAATCCTAGTGCAGACAAGGCCAAAGAGCTTGGCTTATGAGTCACAGACCTAATTGTATTGCACAAGCTGCCTCATGATGAGCTTAGACGGCTCTGAATGGACATTCCATGGCCAGGCTGAGCGCACTCTCTTTTTTAATTTCTTTGGCAGAGGGCTTGAATGCCAAATCCCGCCCAGAATCAGTTAAAATGGATGAATTATGATCTGTAGAAAACACTTGATGCAGAGTGGAAATACTAATAAGCCCCAAGCACTACTTGCCCCACTGCAGTATATACCCTGGGGGTGAGAGTAACAGAACCTGGAACAGATGAGAATGATTGTGTACTGGCTGTTCTACACATCACGCTTTCAGCTCCATGCAGACCACTTTCCTTTTAGCGCCAAGAAGGCTCAGATAGGTCCCTACCTATCCCTGACTGTGGATAGAAATGAAGCATTTTTTCTTGTCTGCGTTAGCCAGCCTGTTTTGTAACATGCTGTGTTATGCTGCATAAAGTCAGAAAGCCAGAACAATGCAGCCTCTGTTGTTGTTTTCTTTTTTTAGTTAGCCTATCCCCTGTCTGCAGACAGCAGGTATCCTGTTGGAATTCTTTGTGGGTTGTTTAAGCATCTGGTACTCATGAAATGCAGGGCTTTATGAACTCCCCTCCCCCTCCAAATCCTGCAATACTGACCCACCTTGTGTCTGGAGAAGTTCGATGGGACTTAATTTCTCTCCTCAATGAACACCATGGTCAGGAACTTGGCAGTTTCAGTTCTTTGCCTTCATCATCTGTGTTCAAGGCTGCAAATATCTCCAATGTGTCTCCTGTCACCATGAACGGGATGTGGAGTCTGTTTCCCATTGGGAATTTTAATGCCCTCCTTTGATATCTTCTTTAAAGTTTGTTTCTTTTGTTGGTGGGTGGCTGTTATGAGGTGTTAACAGGCATCTAGCAGAGACATCATTTGTGGTGGGAGGAGCAGTATGGATTCGCAGCACTTCTTTTCCAGTTATTCATCTTAATTGTGTCAGCTTCTACGTTGATTGGTTCAAAGGGTTCTGACTCTGAATTCTTGCTTTCTGGTTTTTATTTCCCCCCTTGTCTGCATTTCCTAATTCTCCACTCTGGTCCCCATTTTTTTGGGATTTCCTTCTCCAAGTGACGCTTTGGGGATACTTTGATGTTTCTGATGTATGGCTATGTTTAGCTTAATGGGCATCATCCCTGCTTATCCCGGCTTCTTGCAAACAGTGCAACCTGATGAATAAGGCTGCATATATTGTGCCATCCTATCTCCTACCAGAGCCCATGATCAAATAATACAGAGCAATCTGATAGGACCTTAAAAAGCAAGCCACGTGCCATTGTCCCATTACATCAAAGGGCATGCTCTATCATACTGGTATGTGTGTTTGTGCCACTGCCCTCGACGGTATGGCACTTTGTGATATGTATATCATTGCCCTCTACTGGATGAATTTTGGGAAATCCTCACTGGGAATGGGCCCATGGTTTCAGAATCCAAGTTCAGGAGTTCTCTTCCACATGCTGTCTGTTTGCAGTTAACTGATGACTATGGCATCTGGGAATGTTTGCAGCCATGGAACATTACAACCACTGTTACTCTTAGAGTAGGGAAATATCAGCCATTCTTGCCTGCTGCTGGTTATTTTAGGTTCATTATTATGTTGACTAAGAAGTTACAGTTTGTAGGGAAAAAAATTCTTGTTGATTGTTAACTATTTTCATTGCTGATTAAGTAACTGACTGCAGTAACTAGCAACAAGTATGATTAGCAGGGCCGACTCCAGGCACCAGCGGAGGAAGCACGTGCCTGGGGCGGCCCATGCTAATGGGCAGCACTCCATCCATTCGGAGTCGGAGCGGCCTTTTTTTTTTTTTAATATTACAGAATTACATCGCACAATAGATATATTACTAACAAAACAGGTGAGATGTTGGGGACTCATTTATTGGCTCTGATTGAGAAATAATTTTCAAAAATGCAGACCTGCAAATGATGTCCACAGCTAGTCTACATAACCATGTATTCAGATTTTGCTTAGGGCGGCAAAAATGGTAGAGCCAGGGCCGGCTCCAGGCACCAGCTTCTCAAGCAGGTGCTTGGGGCGGCCGCTCCGGAGAGGGGCGGCAGGTCCAGGTATTCGGCGGCAATTCAGCGGACGGTCCCTCACTCCGCCTGGGAGTGAAGGACCTCCCGCCGAATTGCCGCCGCAGATCATGATCGTGGCTTTTGTTTTGTTTTGTTTTGGCTGCTTGGGGCGGCCAAAACCCTGGAGCCGGCCCTGGGTAGAGCTGGCCCTGATGATTAGCCACTTTCGTCTCAAGGAATAAACATAAGACTGAACACACAGAAAGACAGCCTATCCCTAAGCTGCAAGTGCAGACAGAGAGGGCTGCTGACTTGTATGTAACCACTCAGGCTTCAATGCAAGATAACAGACCCAGCTGTGTTTGGGAAGCTCTCATACCTTCAGCTGCTGCCTTTGGAAACAGAAGAATGGTTGTACATAAAGTTGACTTAGAAAATTACAAGTCCACTGAATCGTGCAGTTCTGTGGTACATAAAAGCTGTTGTTAATCTCTCTCTCTCTCTCTCTCTCTTACACACACACACACGAAATAGCTCATGGACTATTCTGCATTAAAGTTTTGAACAAATCTCATTTCATTTGTGGTGAACAGGCATGAGTAATAACTTCCTCTGAAGAGGAATCTCAGACCAGTTGCTGCTACTCAGGGCCGAAGTAGTCTGTGGGTGTTTTGAAGCAGTCTGTGGATGTTTCTAAGTCAGCCTTAGCTGCTTTGTGTGCCAGTTTGAAGTGAAACTAACTGCAGTGAATTGGAGAACATTTAAATGCTAAGTCGAAGGTGAAAAGGCAGCAAATCACTAAGCCTGATACAGGCAAACTACTTTTCATTAGTCTAGGTTGGTTATTGCTGTGCTTTAGTGCTGAATAAATTCTCTATCAGGTGTCTGTGCCTGGAGTCAAAGTGTCATTTGGGGGTGATTGCAGCCTATCACAGATGCATATACTCAGTGGACAAAGAAGCTGGCCTGACAATAAGGAGGCCAAAGCTGACAGTGTTCTGCTAAATTCTTCATCTCTCTAGTCAATACTATGAGTAAAGCTTGTCTTGGCTGACTGCAGAATGCTTAGCAGCATTAAGCTATTTGAAATCTGTGCACAGTAATAAAGCCAAACAGCAGAAGATCAATCACGGCACAATACCAGGAACAGGGAGAAGAAAACCAGCAAGGCCATAACTTGAAAATGTAGAAGAAATTGAGCTTTCCCTCTAACCACCATAGTCTAAAACTAACCACTGTGGGGATATGGAGGGAATTCACCAACAAAGGACATTCACCCCCAAATGCTGAAAACATGGCAAACTGGATGCCGTCATGCCAGCTCAGTCCAGCTGCCCTGATATCTTACCTCCAGGGCTGGCCAAGACTTGATGCTCCAAAGAATGCTGAATGAATCTTTAGAAGGGATCTGGCAAAGTCGGCAATGCTGCAGGTTGGAGCCTCAGTTGGAGTCTTCAGTTGCTTCTTTTCTCCTTTCCATTTTCTAAATGTAAACGAGTCAGTTATAAAGCAAATTTCCGTGTTCAAGAAGAAATATGATTCCAATTAGGTACAGTATGAGCTGTCCTTACTAATACCAATGGAACAAATTCAGCCCTGGCATAAGGGGGCACAATTCCACTGGAGCCCATGTAGATCCCACCCGAACTGAATTGAGCCTGTGTCTAACTTTGATTATAGATACATAAGTGGTAGTGGGTTTTAGCACTATTATTCTGCCTCAGCACAAAGCTGTTCAGCGGTGCAGAATAACATCAGTGCAACTGCATGCCAGCCCTTGGAGTCCTCGCACATAATTCATAGGCTGTCCAACTTAAGTCAGCAATTTTTGCCAAACGAGTGTCTAAGAGTTTCAATTCAGAGTTCCCTGCTGGGAAAATAAGTACTTTCCCCCCCTTATTTTCATTAGTTTTAAGAAATACATTTAAAGGATTTTATTCTGTAATGAGAGTATTTCCTTTAAAGAGCTGAGCAGTTGGCAGCATTATTACACAAAAGGAATATTGCAAGTGTTGGCTGTAGAGATCATGAGTATCACACTTCAAAACAATTTCCTTCAGCATTGGAAATGGCATTTCCATTTTCCAGTTAGTAAAAGTAAGCACTTTACTTTTTTTTTTTTGGTTTGTTTAAAACGAGTCAGAAAGAGAATCATTCCAACAGTTCAGTTCAGTGTCAGGAGTGGCCAGGTGCTACCAGGTGGGAACAGAGTAAGATTCCAATCACTGACACTAGCTTCTGGACTGTCACAGCTTGGCTGTGTGATAGAAGCGAAGAGTACAGCTGCCATAGGGTAGGAAGCCATTCCAGTGGCACATGAATAATCTTCCTTGGCCCTTTAGACCCTGGCGCAGTGATCCTTGGTCATCAGGATAGAGGCCTTTTGCAGGTGGCTGGGGAGCATCCCCAAATGTCCCTAACACAATGGGAACTGTCAATAGCCAAATACTTTTTTTTAAATTAAGCTCATTCTTCATAGAACAATATGAAGAGAGAAAAGATAATGAGCCACCTGCAGCCTCCACACAAGAAGTATCCAAGGGCTAATCAGTTTCTAGAGCAGAGCCAAATATTTTATCTCTGCAGAAGATCCCCAGTAAGTGAAAGATACCAGCTGAGTTGTCAACCCGTGTTAGTGGTAACTGTGCCCACCTCCTTTCCCATTTATTTTCTTTGTATGGACAAGAGAGAAAACAAAACCAGTTACCAATAACAACAGCAACAAAACCTGCCTGGAATCTGAATCTGGCATATTAATAAAACAAGCTCTATCTTTGAAAGAATCTTGTGCAGATATTGACATTATTAGCACCTAATCTGCCAAGAACAATAAAGCATATGGGGCCAAACTCAAATAAACAAACTCCAGTGCCTCATAGCTACAGGGAAACCTCACAATTAGGCTGCTCAATGCAAGTATCTCACTAATTGATGTATTTTACAATTCTATTATTCCCATTTTAATGCTGTTTATAACAAATCCACTAGCCATGAGGCCCCTGTTTGTGCTGCAATTAAAATGCAAAGCAAACTTGGACATGCTAATAACAGATAATTAAACCCCAGCACTTGGCTCAGCATCCAATATGCTGTTGTACTTTTGCTGTGGCTGCAGATCCCAAAGTGAAGTTTCAATATTTACAGGTCTCAAGAAACACAGTGGAGAGCCAAGATGATGATGTGTTTGTTTATACTCAAGAGTTTGCTCCAAAGATCTATGTACTTAAGGGAAACTAGAATAAATAGCTAAAACAATACTAGTTATGCAATTCCCATTTGCTTTCTTTGTAAAACAGAAATTCTGATTTAATAATATAGCCCAACCATACAGCATAGCTCCTGGAGTCAGCATGAGTTTGACACACAAAATAACTGCAGGATTGGCCACAGCTACATAAAGAAAATCCAGAATGTTTTTCAGGCCATGCTCCCAATCAGAACTGGCAGTGCAAACTGTTTTTACCTTTAGAATTACAAGTTCCTCTGCACAAAACTGCACAAAAATAAATAAATAAACAAACAAACAAGCAAAAAAGTCCTACAGTCCTTAAATTAAATATTACAGAATTACATCGCACAATAGATATATTACTAACAAAAAAGGTGAGATGTTGGGGACTCATTTATTGGCTCTGATTGAAAAATAATTTTCAAAAATGCAGACCTGCAAATGATGTCCACAGCTAGTCTACATAACCATGTATTCAGATTATTGTTACTCTCATTTTCCTCTCCTGCAGCCCATCCATTGGGTGCTACGCTACTTGTTACATCTTATCTTCATTTAGATTGTAACTCTTTTGGGCTAGGACTGTCTTTTACTGTATGTCTGTTCAGCACCCAAGACAGTGACTGGGCCTTGATCCTCACTGAGGCCTCTTGTGTGATATTGTAATGTGTAAGGGGACTGTTGTCCCCTTACTAACATTCAGTGGGGGTGTTTTGGTTGGCTAGCTCCCAGTACTAAAAAAACGGGGAGAGGCCAATGCTCCAGGTCAGCCTGATTGACAGGGCGGGCAGGCTAATCAGGGAGTCAGGAGGCGAGGTGGGTCCTGTCCTCCGTGTGAGCTCGAATTGCCTGGGTCAGACAGAGTGGGGCCGAGCTAAGGAAAGAGCAGGGGCCCAAGCTGAGCTGGGGAACAGAGTTGTGCCAGCCAGAGGGGCTAGAAAAGCAGCCCAGGAAGCAGGTCAGAGCTGGGAGCAGAGTCATGGAAGCAGCCCAGGGAGCAGACCTGTGCTGGGAGCAGAGCTGCAGCCACAGAGACAGAGGGGCCAGAGAAGCAGCCCAGGGGACTGGAGGCAGAGCAGCAGCATCAGTGCTGAGGCAGAGTGGAGCCAGAGCTAGAACAGTGAAGCAGTCTGAAGCCGGGTGCAGTGAGCAACTTGGGCCAGCCAAATAGGGACCCTGGGCAAAGGGCCCAGCACAGAAAGACACCCCCAGCCAAGGGTCCTTGCAGGCCAGACTGGGAGGGGGATCTTAACCCGACGGGGGACTGACACTGGGAAGAAGGGTCCCACCACCCAAAGCCCAGAGGTGTGTGGCCACCACCAGAGCAAGTGTCCAACCCACAGCATCCCTGCAGCACAGCCAGGGCCTGAGAAGGAGCCTGGGACCTACAAGGAACAGACTGAACTGCCCTGACGTTCCAGAGACACTGTTTGTAATGTTCCCTGCCACAGAGCAGGGTGATGTGTTTTCCTTTAACCTTTCCCATTTTTCCTTATTCTTTTTTAAAATTAATTGTTAATTAAACAACTTGTATTTGCTTTAAATTGTATGAAATGATCAGTGGGTCAGGGAGGTGCCCAGTGCAAAGAGAGTACCCCAGAGTGGGGACACCCTAGCCCCTGTCCTGGGTGACCACAGCAGGGTTGGGGGTCAAGCCCCCCAGGAATCCTGGGCCCAGCCATGTTGGGGTTACGAGGACTTTGCCAGACAGGAGAGTGGAAGGGGAGTCCTCGAGGTCAGGGAGGCCTCTGGGTAAAGGAAGTGGGAGTGAGGACTCAGATCCTTCTGCTTGCCCATTTCACCGGGGTAGTGCAGAAGCCAGGAAAGTTCCCCACAATAGCGGGACCATTCCCCCACTTACAAATGCAAATACTGAGTCACTAGAATGTTACTGTATAAACGTCTACAGTGTTGTTGTAGCTGTGTCGGTCACAGGATATTACAGAGACAAGGTGGATGAAGTAAGTTTATTGGACCAGCTTCTGTTGGTGAGAGAGCTTGTCTCTATTACCTCACCCAAGTTGTCTCACTGTATAAATGCTTGTTCAAAATGTTATGCAAAAGTGCAAGAGAGCAGTCTAATGCGGCATGCTGCTTCCATGTGGATCGTTCCATAATACAAAGAGCAAATGCAAAATGTCCTAATCGGCAAAGTATCTGATGGATGAGAGAAGTAATCATTTCTGAAAATAAGTTTAAGATTTTTTGAAGGTAAATGTAGATATAGAAAGAGCAACTTTCAGCTGAGACAAACTCCTAGCCTACCAGAGATCGTGGAGACAAGAGGAGCCAGAAATCAAAGATGTCAGGGAGTTTCCCTGATGTATCCATCAACACAAGGGAGTCAAAGATAAAAAGAAGAGATACTTGTAGCTCTGCGCTCTTACATTCACTGCTACATAACAGCATACCCTACCACTAGATGGCTTCATTAACATGGTGCTCAGTTATTGACTCTAAATCAGGGGTGGGCAAACTTTTTGGCCTGAGGGCCACATCTAGGTATGGAAATTGTATGGCGGGCCATGAATGCTCACAAAATTAACAATTCAGAGATATTCAAATAAATTTTATTTAATAAAGATACATTTTAGTGGAAATAAACATAAAACCTTACTTACTATTATAAATAAACCACCATAACAACGTATTACAATAATTAAACCAAACGTACTCCCTTTCCACGCCCTTTCTCTGTAGCCTGGATTTGTCGGGCATTAGCTTCCAGTCATTGGAACTCATTGAAATTCACCAGCCCCCTGCTCTCAGAAATCTCCTCACACGTAAGTCCCAACAGCCCACAACTTTGAAAACTGCCACTGAGCACTCCCTGGCCAACCACTTTTTGTTTTACCCTCAACAATGGAAAATTAAAACTACTAAAACATCAGAGTCACCTAAGCCAACAAATAGTAGGCACGTGGGCTTGCACGTTCCCAGGCTTTGATGGCACATGAGGCGCATTTGGGTTGTGCAGCTGGAGTAACATGCGTGCTCTCACGCCTGTCACACGGTCCTGAAATGCAGGAGCACTGGGAAAGCAGAGCAGGGCAAGCTCCCGACCCTGCTCCCCGGCTGGAAAGCTGGAGCGAGGCAAGCCCCCGACCCTGCTCCCCGGCTGGAGAGCCGGAGCAGGGCAAGCCCCGACCCCATTCCCCAGCCGCAGTGCCAGGCGGGCGCAGCAGGGCAAGCCCCCAACCCTGCTCCCAGGCAGGAGCAGCGGGGCAAGCCCCCGACCCTGCTCCCCAGCTGGA